GGTGGTATAACAAGAAATAAACTACTTGACACTTGCCTTTATGTCTATATTGTTAATGGGCTCGAAAATTATGCACTGGCGGTGTAATAGTATATATTACGAAAGCACAATGCCTGCACGACGCATACAGTATTACTGGTAGTGGTAAGCGACCACTGCATGGAGCACTGCGCGGTACTACTGCGCGGGTAGAGTGGGGCAGACGTGTGAGCGAGCACGTCAACCAGGGAGTATATATAGCCTATACTCGCCTGAGTGCCCCGCGCGCGCGATACAAGCTGAAGCGAGCGCCCACTGTTTCAGTTTCAGTTTCAGTATCCAGAGGCGTGTTCAGGAGAGCGAACGCTCGCGAGCGCTCGCCTTCTGAACGACACTGCGCGAGCGAGCGCGCGCGCGCAAACTCCAAAGGCTGTTCGCGCAGCGCGCGAGTTGTTTACAAGATGGCGACGGGCAATCTGGGGAATGGGAATCTAACATTTCTGACTTCAATTTGCAATCTATTTCAACTTCATTTCATTTTGCATTCATTCATTTACTTCTAAATTCAATTCGTATCAATTTCGTCTGCTAATTCGTTTAACAGTACTTGTTCGAAGACATTAAAATCTCGCGATTAAAATCTGCTGCGTAACCCGGCCTCCATGGGGGCCGCCATCTTGGATAAAGCCAGCGCACAGCGAGCGCTCGTGTGTCGTTCAAGAGGCGCTGCGTTCGTGCATCGAGCGTTCGCATCGAGCGCACGCTCTGTTGAACACGCCTCTGTATTACTATTAGCCAATTATGCAGCAGGGGTATTAATTGTGTATTCCAGCCACGTCAGTGCCTTCCGCGAGGGTATTCAGACTAATTCAGTACAGCGGGTGACATTGTTACGGCACAGAGGGCTGCACTGTCAGCGGGAAACATTGCCGTGCACTTCCCAATACGTATTGGAAAATATTGCATTACGGTTTTGTCGTATTGCAATATATCGCAATACGGTTTTTGGTCGCAATACTCACCCCTAGTCACACTCCTTCCCTATTATCTACTTCTGATATGATGTATGTCACTGTATATAGTAATCAAGGAAACTGATAATTTTACTATCTCCGTTTAGAATGAACTAGCATTGTTTAATTTTCGGTAATCTTTTAGTATATAGGTGTATACTGGA